CTTTGGGGCATGCCTTGTTTAGGTCGGAGAAATCGATGCACAACCGCCATGCCCCGCTGCTTTTTTTCACGAGTACCGGGTTGGCCACCCAGGTCGGGTATCGGACTTCGCGTATGTACTCGTTGTCCTTGAGCTTGGTCACCTCCTCTTCCAGGGCTTGCTGTCGGTCGGGGCCGAGCTTCCTCCGCTTTTGCACGACCGGCTTGACTGTGGGGTCGACCTGCAATCGATGGCAGGCGACCTGCGGGTCGATGCCGACCATGTCCTCGTGGGTCCATGCAAAGACGTCTGCGTTTTTCCGGAGGAACTCGGTCAGTTCGGCCTTCATTGGCCCCGGCAGCTTGCTCCCGATCCGGAGTTGTTTCTGGCAGGTCTCTTCGTCGATGAAGATGACCTCGACTTCGTCCATTGGCTCGGCCCTCTTCGTCCCCCGTTTTTCTTCGTATTGTGTCCGAGGGTCGAGCTCGTCTTCCTCCGTGATCGGCCTTTTGCCGGCCCTTCTCCCTCTGTCCCTGCCAAGGTCGTCTTCGACTCCATCCGCGGCTGTCGGGTCGGCACCCGTTGAGATCAGGGGATGCGAACCTGTCTGGTTTCCCAGCATGCGGTTGCCCCCGTCACCGTCGTGTGCCGACTCGGTGTCTGCCACCCCGGCGTCTTCCCGTAGGTTCGCCATGTTTATTTCGGTGCGCGGGATGGTCAGAATGCATTCCCGCGCCTCCCTTTGGTCTCCTCGGTGGGTCCCCTCCCCGTCGGGAGTTGGGGCTTTGAGAGAGTAATGGAAAATGGAGACGGCGGCCTTCAGCTTGTAAAGCGCCGTCCTGCCCAGTATGGCGTTGTATTCGCTTGGGCAGTCCACGATTTTGAAGGTTTCCAAGATCGTCTTCGTGGGCTGCCCCCTGTCTCCGAACCGGACCGGCAGCGTGACCTGACCAACTGGGGCGATGGTCTGGCCGTTGAATCCCTGGATCCGCTCCCGGCAAGGCTGCACCTCTTTCCTATCAATCCCCATCTTCTTGAAGGTCTCGTAGTAGAGGATGCTGGCGTAGGCCCCGGTGTCGACCATGATGCGATGGATCTTAATCGCCATGATCGGCGCCGTGATCACCAGGGCGTCGGAGTGGGGATGGTCGAACAGGAAGGCGTCTTCATCGTTGAAGGTGATGGTGTTTGGGGTCGGCTCCGGTGCCGGTCTACTGTGGGCATGCATCACCCTTTGCCCGGCGTGGTAGGCCTGTCGGGCGTAGGCCTTGGTTTGTCTCCGGGAGAGGAGGGACTCGCCCCGGCTTGTGTTGACACGCCGGGTCGGGAAGTTGGCCAGGTCGGCCCCGGTGTGAGGGGACCGGTCTCTTTTTCTGCCCCTGGAGGTGCCGGCCTCATCTTGATGGGTGGGGCAGAAGGTCATGATTTCGTGAGGACCGCCCTGCTGCGGTTTCTTCCTCCGAGGATTTACATCGGCATCCTCGTCACTGTCGGGGTTTTCCTCAAAACGCCCCCCTTTCTTCCTCTTGTCTCCGGAGTGGGTGAACTTCCGAAGTTGGGGGTCATCGATCAGCTTCAGAAGTGCCGAGATCAAATTCCGGCACTGATCAGTGTTATGCCCGTGCGCCTTGTGGTAGGTGCAGTAGCGGGTCTTGTCTACTTTGTCCTTGTCGGTGAACATCGGCTTGGGGTCCGGTAATAACCCCTTGGCCTTGATCTCCTCGTAGACCGCCGCGGCACCTACCGAGAAGACGCCCTGATAGCTTTCTCTCAGTTCTTCGGCCCTCTGTCTCCGCTGAGCTCGGATCTCAGCGAAGGACTTGCTTGGCTTCCCCGATTTTTCCTCCTTTGCCTTCGCCTTTGCTGGTGCTGGTGCCGGCGTGGCGTCGAAGGTCGGGATGGAAGAGGATTCCTCCGCCATGATGTATTCCTGAGCGCGGGTGAGGAACTCTTGGTAGGTGGTCGGCTTGTTCTGGCACAGGGACCACCTGAACAGCGTCTTCGGTCTGAGTCCGCCCTGGGCCGTGATGAGCAGGGCGTCGGGGTGGCACCGCTCCATATTTTGGACCCGGTCATTGAACCTGGCGATGTAGTCCTTCAGACTCTCAGTCTCGCCCTGTACGATGTTGGAGATTGATTCCTTGGGGGCGAGATTGATCTGCGATCCAATGAAGTGGGACCGGAACGCCGACCCGAGCTGTGCCCAGGTCGAGATGGAGCGGGGGTATAAGGAATGGTACCACCTCTGCGCCTTAGGCCCCAACGTCAGGGAGAACATGCGGCAGCGCAGGGCGTCGGAGGCGCCGTGCAGGTCCATCCACGAGGTGTAGAGGCCGAGGTGTGAGTCGGGATCCGAGCTCCCGTCATAGAGGCCGAGATGGGGTATTTGTATCCCCTTCGGGACAGCCTCTTGCAGGATATCGAGGGAAAGTGGCGAGGCGTTATCCGCGACCCGAGGAGTCGGTCGCGCACGGGTTTGTTGATGAGCTGGGAGTGAAAAATCACTCCCGGTGGGCTGCCGACCTTCCAACTCGGCAATTCTGCGTTTGAGGGCCGCGACTTCCTCAGTGTCGTGGCCGATGGCTTTGCCCCGCCTGATCACCTCTCGGAGGTCTTGGTTGGCGTGGCTCTTGTCACCCAGGCGCTGGTGAACAGAGCGACGAACGACCGGGAGGCTTCGCTCCGGCCGGCTCTCCCCAGTCTGTTCCGTGGGAGCCGGTCTGGTACTCCTGTCGCGGCGGTTCTGGGCCTCGCGGTTCGGGGATTGGGCCGTAGTTTTGGATTTTGCTGGGTTCCTCTGTCCACCGGTCTCCTTTTCAGGAGTGTGGAGCAAAGTGTTGCCGGGGTTCTCAGTGGGCACCGCAGTGTTCGCCCCGGCGGTTTGACTGGCGAGGGCCTTGGCGAAGACCCCCTCGAGGGCTTTGAGGACGTCGGGGTGCTGCAAAGCTGCAGCGAAAGTAGGAACTGGGGGTACGGGGACGATGGGCCCCTGCTGAATGCGACGGGAGGACTCCCCGCCGTTGCGGCGGCGAGGCTGGGAGCCGGACTGTTGGGTGGAATCGTCATGTCCAGATGAAGGCATTTTGAGCGGTTTTAAGAAGCGAAAAAGTGGGGAAAAAGATGAGCGTGGTGTGGAGTTTTACAAGGTCGAAAAGTTGACACCAAATAACTTATGATGCCCTCCTTCTAGCGCCAAACTGTTGACGGGCGTTTCCGGTCAACGGTTAAAGAGATTAAATAATGAAAAGAGAATAAGGAAAAGACAAGGGAATACGGTTTAATTGCAGCTTTATTAATAGATCGCGAGGTCGGCCTCTCGTACGAGGTCGGCACTTGCAATATCCTTACAAATTGTTACAGAGCAATTACAGGAGTTTTAGAGAGAGAAAGTAGAGAGAGATAGCTTTTTCAGTTGAGATTCAACAACCCAAAATAAATGAGAAGGGTTGCTATTTATAGTAGCCTTAAATGTGACACTGTTCAGGTACTGTTCATCAGTCTTGTCGTACAATGTTCCTGCAGGACAGTCCGGCGCCTCCCTGACAGCATTAAATGCGATTTGAGGTTTTTCTCATCATTAGGTGACAGGCATTTAATGCTGGCAGGCTTTATGTCTTAGCTAAGGGGAGTAGGTCAACAGGCTATGATGTCCCATCCATTTAGCCAATGATTGTCCTCCAAGTGGCATTATTATACCATTATAGAGACCGGCATTCTCCGTTGTGGAGGCCCGCCCTGGGACCCCAAGTCGGCACCTCGGCATCTTACCTTCATCTGTTCCCCTGGTCCTGGGGAATCCTTCTTTCGGTCCGTCATTTTTCAGCCCGGCACCCGTGGCGTCGTAATCGAAAATACCGAACTGACGAATGGTCTCACGGCGATGCCAGGGTCAAAAAGTTTTTCGGTCCAGCTCGGCACTCTATGGGTGGACCGGATCTCTAGTTCGGCTCTCGGAATTGTGTGGTCCGGTTCAGTCTCATGGGCGAACTCGGATGTCAACAGTATATTTAAAAAAAAGTTTAAATCTGACCTTTAACCAACAATATTATTTGGTCGATTAGCATAATTATTGTAATTTTGGTAGGTGCACTGTGTTGTTTTATAAGGTGCAACATGAAGTGTAATAAGGTGCAATGTACTGTTGTATAAAGTGCAACTTATTGATATATAAAGTGCAATACTGAAATTTTGATACGTTAGCATGCTTGGTTTTTCTTTCTTTTTTTCTTTTTATATAGATTATGATGGATATTAAAGTACTATGTAGAGTGCAACGCGTTATTTTATAAAGTGCAACATACTATTTTATAAAGAACAACATCCCGCTGTATAAAGTGCGTTAATTTATAGCTTTCTAGATAGATTATGCGTATTAGAAAACTAGTTTCAATATATAGAATTGTACATCGAATTAACTTAAATAATTAAAAATATAGTTTATTTATTATTTTTATTATATACTTTATTATTATAAATTGTTTTTATACTATTTTAATATTTTATATAATTTTTATTTAATAATTTAAAAAATAATTTATTTTTCTCGATCGGTTGACCAAATTATTCTAAATAATGTAAATGATATATTATGATAATATTTAGTGTTCTGAAATTTATATTTAAATTATAATATTTATGTGGAAATGACATAACATATAAAATAACGAAATAAATAATATGCATTCACACAACCAATAATGTGCATCTCGACTATCAGTATTATGTAACCTAATGATCGAGTATTTTTTATGTGCATTTTCAAGTTTTAAAAAACATTAATAACGTGTATTTCAATTAACATTATTTTACATATATAAAATTATTTATATAATAAACATCTATTTTTGGGTGTTTGAGCATAATCAAAAAGAATATTGTGCATTTATACATTTTTACTCATCATTCTTAAATACTCATTAAACTCTTCATAATTAATGAGTTGACCAAGGATCAATTTGCAATATATTTAAATGTACTTAAATTTCATATCAATCCTTTTAAATCATCTAATTTTCACAAAGTATCCCCACCCCCAATTTGTTCAATTCTCGACAATAATGACGACACACCATTTCACGTTGCTTCAGTCTTCACCAGGATGAAGTCGGCCGATTTCAGGAGCGGGCGACCGGCGATGTCTGGAAAGAGCAGTCGGAGGGATGGCGGCGGCGGCGGATGAGCGGTGGTGGACTGGCGGTTGGGGGGCTGTGTGTCGAGCCATTATTGTGGGTGTTTGTCGAGTTTTATGAGTGTGTGTGAGAGAGAGAGAGTTTGAGAGAGCGGGCCGAGAGGCGGTGGCGGCGGCGGCGGACGGGTGGTGGCTGACTGAGGGTGGCCGGATGTCTATGGAGCAGTGACTGTTGTGTCGATTTTATGTTTGTGTGAGGAGAGAGAGAGCGGGTGAGCTGGACAGATCGGGCGGAGGCGACGGACGGGCGGTGGCGGGCCGNAGAGAGAGAGAGAGAGAGAGAGAGAGAGAGAGTGGGGTGGGGTGGGGTGGCTGGTGGGTTAGTTAGCAGGTTATGTGCATTAAGTTGGAATGGGCCCACCTCTTTAGGTGTGTTATGGAAAATTACCAGAATGTCCTTAATGAAGGTATAATTTTGACTTTTTTTTAGCCATTAGATCAACCGATCTAATGACTACGATTCATTCTCATTTTTTCCATTGAGAACCATTCTCATGTGAACCCAACCCTATATCTATATATATATATATAGGGATGCGCTCCGGTGAGAATGGTGCTCAGTGATAGAAATAAGAATAAATCATTGCCATCAGATCAAACAATCCAATGACTAAAAAAAGGCAAAATTATACCTTCATTAAGGGTATTATGAACATTTTATCACCAATTATTAACCAAATGGGTCCCACCATAAAACAACCCAAAAAATGCTACATGTACATAATAAATGTATATAGAGATGTACATAACACTCACATGGAGTGGGGTCTACTGGATTTTTTATTTTTGTTAGGTCCCACTCAATGTGAGTGTTATGTATATCCTTAACAACATTATGTACATGTAGCATTTCCCAAAACAACCCATCCCACTCCCACCAAACACACGTATTAATGTCACGTTTAATCTTTTTCTCCCCACTTTTCCACACATTTTTCTGTCAAATTCTCTCTCCCCATTTCTCTCTCTCTCTCTCTCTCTCTCTCTCTCTCTCTCTCTCTCTCTCTCTCTCTCTCTCTCTCTCTCACACACACACACACACACACACACACACACATCTCCACTGGCACAACGGAAGGTTGCTACATCGCCAGTGTCAGCCAGCCGACGGCATCGACCGCCACAACAACAGCGCCAGCAACGGTGACATGCTCCGGGGTACAGCTCGCCGTCGACAACCGGAGAACTTAACTCCGCCTGCGATCCGGTCGGCAAATCTGCGTGCGGCAGGGAGAGCGGAAGTGGGTGAATTCCTGTTGTCGGAGATGGAGACGAACAGCGCAGTACAGGGCTGCCGTCTAGGAGGGAAGAAGCCAACGAATATCCGCGGGTGATGGTGACAGTGATGCCAGACGGCGGCGGCGAGGGGAAGTTCAAAGAGTGAATAGTGGACTTATGTGTAATTTTTGAAAGTTTATGGGTGTCATTTTGAGAATTAGATAGATATCAAGGACTTATATGTAATTTTTGAAAATTTCAAACATTTTACTATTATTTCAATTTAGTCCATGGGTTGAATATATAATTTATACAAATACATACATATATATATATATATATATATATATAAGTCAAATATATAATTTATCTTCAGTTTTCTTCAGCAGGAATGCCTCTGTTGGACTCAAGCAGGAAATTTGTCAATGCCTTCAGGGGATTGAGGTATGTCACTCTTCTAGGTACCTTGGTCTTCCTTTGGGTATTGGTAAGAGTAAGAGAGAAGTTTTTGACTATGTCACTGCTGTGGTTAAGAAAAAGATTGTTAGCTGGAAAAATAAGTTCCTATCTTTTGCTGGTAAGGAGGTTTTATTGAAGGCTGTGATATCTGCTTTGCCTTTATTTGTGATGTCATGTTTCTGTTTACCTGTTGGGGTGTGTAAGGAAATAGCACAACTTTGTGCTAATTTTTGGTGGTCATCTGGGAAGGATCAACAGCAAGGAGTGCACTGGCTAGCTTGGCAAAAGGCTACTACTCCTAAATGTGCAGGGGGTCTTGGGTTCAAAGATTTTAGGGTGGTCAATGATGCTCTCATCCTGAAACAGATCTGGAGACTGCTTACTAAACCTAATTCTCTTATGACAAGAATTTTGAAGGAGAAGTATTTTCCCAATGAATGTGTTCTGAATGTTAAAGGTAAGACTTCTGCTTCTTGGCTCTGGAATTCCTGGGTTAAAGTGTTAAATAAGCATAAAGAGAGGTTTAGGAAGCAGGTGCATGATGGGGGTTCCACTAAGATCTTCTCTGACCCCTGGGTTTTGGGAAGCATGACTGGGATTCCCTGTCTCAAACAGACTTCTGATCAGGTTCAGGTGACTTGGGTTTGGGAGTTAATGTCTGATTCTGGTAGATCTTGGAATAGTACTTTGTTGCAGCAACTGTTTACCCCTGATTCCTGCAGAGAAATTTTGAGTTTGAAAGGTCTGAATCCAGAAGAGAGAGACAGATGGATTTGGTGCCCTGATGCTAAGGGTATTTTTTCTGTGGCTTCTGCTTATGAGGTGGCTATTAATCAGAAAGTTTTAAAACTTGACTCTCCATGTTGTAGCTATAATCAGAAGCTGGATAAGATAGCTAGATTGAGGTGTTGGTCCTTGAAAGTTAAACCTAAGCTGAGACACTTTCTATGGAAGTGTTTTACTAATAACTTGCCAGTTGCTCAGAATTTGCTGCATAAGAGAATTGAGGTGGAGCCTTTGTGCAGATGCTGTGGCGAGGAGATTGAAACAGTGGCACACTTATTTTTTGAGTGCAAGAGGGCACAGCTTGTATGGAAGGCCTCAACTCTGTCTTGGGATTTCTCTGAAGCTGCTTACACAGGATTTAAAGGTTGGTGGTGGCACATTGCTGAAATGAAGCTGACACCAATAGCTGAAGCGCGCATTCAACTTTCCACGTACATATTGTTAGGGGTGTGCAAATTTTGACTGAAATCGACCGAACCGACCGAAACCGACCGAACCGACCAATTCGGTTCGGTTTTTGTTCGACTCGGTCGGTCGTCGGTTTTCGTTTTGTAAATTTTCGGTTTGTTCGGTCGGTTTCGGTTTTGGACATAAAATATCCAAAAAAACCGAACCGACCGAATATATATATATATATATATATATCATATTATATATTATATTATAATATAATAATTTAATACAAATGAATAAGAATAACCCTAAGTCCCTAACCTAATACTGATACATCTCATTTCGCCGCTATCTATAACCTATCGACTCCAAAATCCAAATCCTCCCGCACGGCCGCACCTTCCCTCAAATCCTCCCCGCCGTCCCCAGATCTTCCGAGTTCCGACCCTACACGGCTACACCCCTAGCCGCTACTCCTCCGTTGCTCACCAGTCGTCCGTCGCTCGGTGCTCCTCCGTCGGTCGCTGCTCCTCCGTCCAGTCAAGGAGCTCGTCATCACCGGTTGTCGACTCGCACCAGTCGTCTGTCTCTCGCTGCTCCTCCGTCGCGCTCCTCCGTCCTCGCTGCACCTCCGTCGTCGCTGCTCCTCCGTCCTCATTGATCCTCCATCGTCGCTGCTCCTCCGTCCGGTCAAGGAGCTCGTGGTCACCGACTCACCGGTCGTCCAGGCACATCGGCTCAGCCTGTAACTGTAAGTATTTTTTTTTGTTTTATTTTTTTGTAACTGTAACACATGCTCTTTGTATTCTTGATGTGTAAGGTGATGTGAATTTTGTTAACTTTCAACTTAAATTGATTACTTATCAGTATCAATTTTTACTTTTTTTTCGTTCGAAAGAGAGCTGCAAGCCTGCAAAAGCAATGTCTCTGTGTAATGATTAATGAATTAGAAAGAAGAAATGTGTACAGTGTAATGAATTGATAACAGATATGAAGATGAAAATGAACTAGATGAAGATGATAAAAAAATTCAGTGTACAGTCTAATGAATTAGAAAGAAAGAATGTTAGTGAATCAGATGTTGACCAACTTGTGAAAAAATTATGAATGTCTGATGAGTGTCATATGATAATTGATAACAGTCGGAAATAATATTCAAAAATTATGTGAAAAATTGTAACAGTTTGCCTTTTTACATCAAGCCATGTTTTATGATGAATTGATTTTTGCTTCATATACATTGTGCATTTGTGCTGACTGTATTTTACCTTTCTCTGAAATTCATAATACTTGGACTGTAGATGTTAAGTCAAGATTCGACTGAAATGGACGGAAGCACGGGACCTGTGGATAAGGCCTCAAAGGAGACACCGACTATACGTTCAACAGGAGATTCATCAGAAGTTAAAAGAGGCGCCGCACGCCGTAAAGTACGGCCAAGATCTAGGGCATGGACTCATTTTGACCAGATTTTTGACGAAAAGAAAGTTGTGGTAGGTGCTCAGTGCAAGCATTGTAAAAAGCAATATGCTTGCCATACAAAACGAAACGGTACCTCATCACTTCTTGCTCATATAAGTAGTTGCATGAAAAACTCTGAAAATGTGGATGCGAACCAGTCTTTAATAAACGTGCAACCAGGAAAAGAGGGTGTTGTTGGGTCGGGTTCGATATCTAATTGGAAATATGATTATGGTGAGATTCGAGAATCTATTGCATATATGATATGTTCTGATGAGTTGCCCTTTAAATTTGTGGAAAGTAGAGGATTTAAATTGCTTATGAGCAGAGCATGTCCTAAGTTTAAAATTCCTTCTCGGACCACTGTTACAAGAGATTGTTTTGATATGTTTGTTAAAGAGAGGTCAAAGTTGAAATCTTTCTTGAAAAGTAACTGCCAAACGGTTTGTCTTACTACTGATACTTGGACGTCTCTGCAAAAAATTAATTATATGTGCATTACCGGCCACTTCATCGATAATGATTGGAATTTGCACAAAAAAATCTTGAATTTTGTTCCCGTTACGAGCCACAAAGGTGATTATATTGCCAAGTCACTTGAAACTTGTATTCTTGATTGGGGGCTAAAAAATGTCTTTACGATAACGATGGATAATGCAAGCTCAAATGATACGGCATTGGAATTTTTGAAAAATAGAATGATGGATTGGGGGGGTACCATTGCAGATTGTAAATACATTCACATGAGGTGCATTGCCCATATTATTAATTTGATTGTTAGCGAGGGCCTTAAAGATGTAAAACCATCAGTGAAACGGGTGAGGGCGGCTATTAGATACATAAAAAATTCTCCTGCTAGACTTCGAAAATTTAAAGAGTGCGTGGAATGGGAGGGTATAAAGTCCAAAAAGTCATTATGTCTTGATGTCAAAACGAGGTGGAATTCGACTTATGTGATGCTAAGCACGGCGGAAAAATTTGAGAAAGCATTTGCTAAGTATGCAAGAGACGAAACTTCTTTTATAAAGGATTTGGGAGATGATTTAGTTCCTAGTTCTTATGATTGGTCTTGTGCTCGCAAAATTTCTGAATTGTTGAAGTACTTTTATGATGCTACCTTACGGATTTCGGGCTCTTTGCATGTCACTTCGAATACTTTTTTTGGTGAGATTAGCGATTTGTGTTGCACTTTGGATGANAATGATTGAATGAATAACCCTAACCTAATACATCATCTCATTTCGCCGCTATCTAATCTATCGTCCAAAATCCAAATCCTCCCGCACGGCCGCACCTTCCCTCAAATCCTCCCCGCCGTCCCCAGATCTTCCGAGTTCCGACCCTACACGGCTACACCCCTAGCCGCTACTCCTCCGTTGCTCACCAGTCGTCCGTCGCTCGGTGCTCCTCCGTCGGTCGATGCTCCTCCGTCCAGTCAAGGAGCTCGTCATCACCGGTTGTCGACTCGCACCAGTCGTCCGTCTCTCGCTGCTCCTCCGTCGCGCTCCTCCGTCCTCGCTGCACCTCCGTCGTCGCTGCTCCTCCGTCCTCATTGATCCTCCATCGTCGCTGCTCCTCCGTCCGGTCAAGGAGCTCGTGGTCACCGACTCACCGGTCGTCCAGGCACACCGACTCAGCCTGTAACTGTAAGTATTTTTTTTGTTTTATTTTTTTGTAACTGTAACACATGCTCTTTGTATTCTTGATGTGTAGAGGTGATGTGAATTTTGTTAACTTTCAACTTAAATTGGACACTTTTCTTGGCATCACACGGAGAAGCTGAGTTGGATTTGGAAGAAACAAGAAGTGCGCTGTAATAAGATTGGACACTTTTCTTGGCATTTTGTTGAATTAATCTCAAACCATAATTCCACCTGCAAACGCCCAATTGATCTTTCAGTTCCTCAACTGCTCCAATGCTTGTGGCTACTATCCAACCATTTCTAGCTGCTCTACTCATTCTTTTTTCTTTATTTATTTAATTTGTATTTGTGTGTGAAATTGTGTTATTGTGTGTGTGTGTATGAAATTGTGTTATTGTGTGTGTTATTGTCTGATGAGTGTCATATGAAATTGTGTTATTGTTATTGGCTTATTGTGTGTATGAAATTGTGTTATTGTGTTATTGTGTTATTGTTATGGGTGCTTTGTTTTACTTTTTGGACTTGTTTTGGAGACTTGGGATGTTGTTTTTATCATTTTCTGGACTTTGCTGTGGTTTTTTTTTATTTTTCTGGACTTCTATGAATGCTTTTGGGACTTGGATTTGTTGGATTTGGAATTGAAAAGTTTAACTTGGATGTGTTTTTAGGTTGTATATTAATGAAAAGGCCCATATGTTTGGGCTTAGTAAACAATCCACAAAAAATTTTATTTTTGTAAAATAATCGGTTAACCGACCGAACCGACCGACTAATTCGGTTCGGTTGTGTTTCGGTTTTAAGCAATGTTTCGGTCGGTTCGGTTTTAGTCATATTGTTGTTCGGTTAATTCGGTTTTTGTATTTCGGTTCGGTCGGTCGACCGAACCGACCGATGAACACCCCTACATATTGTGGTGGTTGTGGAAATCCCGGAACTTGTGGGTCTTTCAGAAGGAATGGCTGCCTGAGGAGACAGTGGCCAAGCTTGCTCACAGAGAATGGACTGAGGCTTCTCATCTTCCTTTTCTCTAGGTTCTATTGTTGTTGGTTTTGTTTTTTTTATTTTCTGTTCCGGTTGTGTATCCATAGCTAGGTCCCTTATGGTTCAGTGGCTTGGATTTTGTCTCTTTTTATAGTTGTGATTGTTGGATTTTCTAGGTTATGTTGAGGACGCAGGGTCGCTTAACTTCTGTTATGCCTGTTGTTCTTGTTTGTAGTTTATTCGAGGCCACCATTTGGAGTGGTGCTCTGGGTTGTATTTTGGCTAGTTGGCCATTCGGTTGTAAACTCTATTTTATTTGAGTAATATGAGTCTTATTATCGTTTGGAAAAAAAANTAATTATTTTATATTATCTTACAATCTATAAACAAAATACTATAATTTAAGCTACAATTGAATTGTGGTAGTTTTGACATAATTATATGTAATTTCAATTTTTGGTATCCCATAAAAATTATGGAATGATATTTTTTTAAAATAATTTTTAAAAGGAAATACAAAATTTTTAAATAAAATAAGAATATTTGGCATGAATTTTAATGTCTATATCTAGACCTTCTTCTCTTTAGTAATCAGTGTTTTATAATGTGTATAGCGTAGTGCGTCGTGTTTTGACCTTTATATTGCGTAGCTTAATAGCGTTGCGTGTTGCGTAAGCTATTTGAATATAATTTTTTTTTATAAAAATATTATTAATATATTTTTATATAATAAAATTGGATGTTTATTCCAAAAATTATCATAAAATTTTAATGAATTCAAAAAACATGTAAGAATTATTTCTCAAAAATGTTTAATGTAAATATCGTAATATAAATATTTAAATAATAAATCGAATATACTAAAAAGTAAAAACAAGCAACAGAAATCTATAAATATTGAAAGAGGTTGTCGGA